ACTTGAAGAAGACCAAATCTGTTACCTGTAAGTAAAGAAAAATTTTAATAAAAATTAAAAGAGAGAGAGAGAGAGAGAAAAAAAAATTTTACAATCATACCAATACATATTCTCGGTCCTTCACCAAAATACAAAGCACTTATATTTTCTCTTTTAGATTTTTCTTCTGGAGCGTGTCTCATGGGATCAAATTTTTCTGGATCTGGATATATTTTCGGATCTCTTTGTATTCCGTAAGCAGGTATGAAAACATTTGTTCCTTTTTTAATGACGACATCAGTATCGGGAACTTTATAATCTTTATTACAAATTCGAGTCAATATTGGAAGCGGTGGATATTTTCTTAGTGTTTCTACAAGAGAGAGAGGGGGGGAGGGAGGGGGAAAAAAAAAAAAAGAAAAAATTAATTTTATGAGATTTCCTAAGGAATAAAAACAACATGAAAAAAAAAAAAAAAAACGAGGGAAAAAAATTATACCGCGAATCACCCAATCTAAATAATGCATTTCTGATATTCCTTCGTATGTTATTTTATTATCATATTTTATTAATATTCTATCGATTTCATCGATTAATTTTTCTTGAACGTCTTCGTTTCGAGCTAATTCGTATAAAGCAAAAGTCATTGTTGTCGATGATGTTTCAAAACCGGCCAAAAAGAAAACAAAAGCTTGTGCGGCTGCTTCGTTAAGACCAAATTTCATGTCATCTAAAAATTTTGAATTTATTTTTTTATAATAATAAAAAAAAAAAAAAAAATTTTTTTCAAGTCGCACGGTTAAAAATCTTTAAAAATTAAATAAATCAATTGATACCTGATGATTGAGTATTTTTTTCGTTAATGTCTTCCCCTCCCTCCTTAATATTATCAACATCATCCAATTTACCATTGTTAATTAATTGAATAAGAAGTTGTAAGAAATCGTTTCTCTTTATGTTATTTTTCTGTCTGTATTCTATGGTTTCTTGTACGGCATTTAAAAAAAAATCAGAAACATCTTTTTGAATTATTCGAAGCTAAAATTTAATTATTTAATTAGTTTTTTTTTTTTTTTTTTTTAATTATCTAAAGGAAAACCATATGAGTTTACTTTGTTGAATTTTTTTTTGAGAAAAAAGAATGATGATATATAATAATTTTTTTAAAAATAAATATTGCTTACCCTTAAAATATCAAATAATTCAGGTAAAAGATTAAAAAAAACGACGATAAATCTACGAATACCCTCAGCATCGAAAACTTTTTTCCCATATTTTCGAAATTCAGAATCTGGATTTTTTAATGAATTACTTTCTATACCAAAAGCACATGATGATATTATATCCGTTGTAAATCGACATAAAACTTCTTTAACTTCAATCGAATTCTCTTGTCCGATATGATCTTCCATGTAATTTTTTAAAAGATTTCCACATTCGACCATTAAGGGAAACATATTTTTCATTTTGCCAGAAGTAAACGTTGGTGTTAGTTTAACTCTTAGATTCCTCCATTTGGCACCGGTTAAATTGAAAAGATGTCCTGAATATTAAAAAAAACTATTTATTTTAATTATCTTTAAAAAGTTTCAAATCAATAAATAAATTTTTTTTTTTGTTTAATTTAAAAACTGGTTTTGCATTCCAAAAGTTCAAAGTCTAATGTTCATGCGACATTTAAAACTTACCTGTAAGAGGTTCTCTATTTATATTTGGTAATGGCCCGTGATCTTGAAAATAATCGAAATCCTTTATAAGTATATTTTTTATAATTGTTAAATCCGCGGGTATTAAAATGGGAAATGAAAAATCCAAATTCCAATCATTTTTTT